AATATAAATGATAATTTAAAATAGTTTATCTTTAAATCAATTCAATAATTTAAATATCAAAACTGAAATAGCCAAGGCAGTTTACTGCTCTGAAATCTGGAATCAAGTCTAGGCAAGCAATTTCAAGAATTTTTCATAGGCAATCTGTCCCAGATATGTCAGGGTCATTTCTCACTATAAATCTGGCTGAATTCAATCAATATAATATTGTTTATTTTTAAAATTAAAATTGAAGACCAAGTATAGATGAATGGTATGGTATGAATGGAAAAGAAAGATAACATCTATAGTGTTATCAGCTCTGATTTTAAGTGTTGTTTTTAGTCAGATGTTTTTCATTGTTTTTAAAGAAATTTTTTAAAATTTTGGTGGCCAAAGAGCCTACAAAGAAAGGTCAGTTGTCAAAAGTTGTATTCCAGAACAATGAAAGTGAATAAATGTAACTGTTTTTCCAACAGACTTGATCTTCATTTTTAATTTTAAACTTAATCACTATCTGGCAAAAAATTTTTAAAACTAAAAATATTGTTTATTTGATAAATACCTGTCTTCTAGCATCCTGTAACTTTTGTTGTTGTTCCAGTTTTGTTTCAAAAACTTGTAGTGATAAATGCAATTCAGCATTTTGCATAGCCAACTGAAAAAAAATTAAGGAAATATCAATATTATATTTTATGGTATCATCTCTAAAATATATCTGTACTAAATCTTCACATAATATCTGAAAAATAAATATTTTATTATATTAAAATAATGTATAACATAAAATGAAAATATTTCAAAAAGAGCTTTAAAGTTTTCAAAATTATAAATGCTCTTATGGAAAACTTCATAATAAATCATTTAAGAAGACTATCATTAGGTCTGTACTTTAAAAAACTATTTTGAATAAAATTTAATATTGTATAATAGTTAAATTATCAAAACATTTAACCAAAAAAAAAAACTAAGACTGATTATATTAATTTAAAATACTAGAAATTAAGTATTATACATGTACTATTTACTCAGCTTATATAATATACTGTATATCAGGTTGTAAAGGTAAAATTTAGGCATTTCAATTTTTTTCTATAAATGAATAGAAAAAATGCTCTAGAACATTTGATGTAAAGATAAGTTGAGTAAAAAAGAGTAGTTCATTACATATTTCATTGGAAATAGATGCATCAGCAATATATGACTATATGAAATTTCAAAAGAGCACATTCTTGTGATGATGTTCCATCACTTCAAAAGTGCCACAATGCAATGAAGGCTCAAGATCTCAGCTGCAAAGTGTTGGTTAAAGCGTTTGTGGGTGAAAAAAGGTCAACCAGTTTTGCAAATGTCAAAGGGCCAATAGTGCAGAATAAGGAGATGATCTATGTTTGGTATGATAATGATGAAACTGCTTTCAACCAACATCACTGTTATGAAAGAACTCTACTATGAACAACTGGATCATTTGAACATCAAGATCAAAGAACTTCATCCAAAAGTTCACAAAGTCCTATACTGTCACAACAACATGCAACACACAGAGTGATGATGATCTTAGAGAAGCTGGTATGGGCTGAGAAGTTCTGCTTCATCCACCTTACAGCCCAGATTTAACACCAAACAACTATCATCTATTTTGCACCCTGCAGAACCATACTGCCAATATATAGTTCATTGACACTTGAGACTTTCTTCATAGAAAAACCTCAGTTATTCATGCTCATAAGATTAAAAGTTTGTAGCATGATTGATGTTGATGGTGATTACCTATCAAGCTGAAGTGTAACTGTTGTTAAGTTAATTGTCAATAAAGTTTTTCCCAATATGTCTAAATTTCACCTTTACAACCTGATAAAATTAATACTTACATATATAAAAATAACCAATTTTTACTATACACAAAATTTATTTAGTTGCAGAGAATTCCCAAAAATTGTTAATTATTCAGGAAATTCAATAGAGAAAACTTCAGTTTGAAATTATTAACATGAAAAAGATTTACGAATATAAATTTTTAGTTAAAAATTTAGTTACTAAAGATGTTCTGGTAAGAAAGGAGAATTTACAATCTTTTAAGAATAAATAAAATTAATTTTATTTTTTTATTTTGTTTTTAGAAATTCCTATTTATTCCTTTACAAAAAACCATACTTTAAATTTTAAAATTAAATATAACAACATTTAATTATACAGTGGTACCTCAGGATACAAACGCCCCAGCATATGAAATTTTCAGGATACGACATGAAATTCGAACATATTTTTGCTCCACGATATGAACAAAAACTCACCATACGACGTTACATTAGTTTGCAGCACCATTTTTTATTCACTTCTGTTCATTGGTCTCAGTCCACGTTTGCTTCGTCGTGGAAGGATCTCGCTCGATAAAGGAAATCTTGAGGTATTATCAGAAAATGACTGATTTTATTGAAAAGAAACATCCTGAAAAGGTTCACACTGGCCATATTGCTGCTCAGAGTAATGACATTTGCCTAAGTCATTTTAGAAACATTTTAAAAAGTAGGCAAAGCCAAACCGCTTTGGATAGATATTTTACCAAACAACCTCTATCCAGTGAAAGTGCTGGTGGAAGTGAAGGAAAGAAAGTAAAAAGCAGTGAATAAAAAATAAAAAAATAAATATATATTTGATACTAAAACTTGTATATATATAAAACAAAAAAGTTAAAAAATTAGTGTTAAGTTATTTTTAAGTTATTGTTACATTATATTACGCAAGTTAAGTTTAGTATCATTTCCCTTCTCGCGCCACCAGTTTACACCTCCACCATCGTCTATCCTCAAAGGTAAACCGCAAATAAAACTACATTTTTTTTTATCAATTATTATTCTATTACAGTTATTTATACATTTACAACTACAAAATGCATTTTTCAGTGTTTTCCTTACTATAGTTATTATTATTTTTTTTTAATGTATTACTTAGCTTTAATTTGAGTGTGTTTTTCGTGTTGGAACGAATTATTTGGTTTTACATGTGGGGAAAATGATTCACCTTATGACATTTTTATGATACGATCTCAGTGTCGGAACGGATTAATTTTGTATGCTGAGGTACCACTGTAATCTAAAGTTGCAAAGAAACCTGGTAAGTGAAATAAAATAATCATTTACAATGATTTAGTTAATCATTTCTTTTTGTTAACCCTTAAGTACTATAGATAATAATAGTGACATAAATACTATGGAGGGGTCTTCCAGACCTCTGCTTTTTAATAATATGAAATTACTCTTTTGTTCAGCTTCTTATGAATTCCTAGAACTTTGTATGATTATAGATGAGTTTAAAATCCAAATTAAAAATATTAAAAAAAAATTAAGACTCTCAACTCTAAGGGGATAAAAAAAAATAGACAAAAATAGCAAGAAATTTATTTTTACTTTTTTGTAATTTAAATTTTTAGAGAATCTTTTAAAGAAATTTTTTTTACACATTTTTAACATCAATGAAGAAAAGTTTAAAACCCAATATTCTTTCACTGCAGTTTTAAATGTTTAATGAAATAACTTCAGAAGTTTCAAAGAAAAGATTTGTACACAATGATGTCATGACTTATGCCATTTTTCTTTCAAATATCACACACATTTTTATTACACAACACAACACACATTGAAAAACAATTTTTTCAATGTGTGTTGTGTTGACACAATTCTTTTTTTCAAAACTTAAAAGAAATTAATATTTCTTTTCTTGTTCTTTTTATTAGGAAACTACTCTGAGTATGCAAGCACTACATGCACACCTTTTCAGAGCACCCCAAGCAAATTGGAACTGCTGACATGAATATCTTGTTTTTTGTTTGCTGAACAGTTCTCTCTCTTATAGGTGAGTCTCCTTTATATATGCAGTATTCTCTTGATGCAGAAACCCAGCTCTTTTAGATGTCCAATGTAGAGTCTGCATAGCACGTGAGGATTGGTAAGGCTACTTGCCACCAATTTCAGAAAAATGAAGCCTTGTCATCAATTCTGCTTTTGAATAGGCTTGATGTAACATATATGAGTTTACACCACAAGTAACATCCACCAGTGTAGGAAAACAAAAAGCTAATGGCCACCTTCTTGTCTGGCAACCTGATGAGTAGTTGACATATTTTTGATCAAGACCATCCATCCTGCTTTTAGTGGTGTTGTAAAACACGATTATCTCAGCTTTCCTGTCTCTTTATCATTGTTTATGGAGTGGTGCATTGAGGAAACCAGTATCACAGCTTTGTACTTGTTTGGGTACAAAAGAAACAATTGTTGTGCCTTTGATAAAGCAATAAATGGTTAACTTATCTTCACACATAAATAAAAAAATCATGCCTTTAAAAGATCCAGTAATGAATTTAATAAAATAATAACGTTTAAATTTTTTAATTTTTGTATTAGTGTTCTATTCTATTGTAACTGATGAAGATCAGTAAAACTGATCGAAAATGTTATTATTTTATTAAATTACTGGATCTTTTAAAGGTGTGATTTTTTTATCTATTTTTATCCAGTTTGTTCAAAATATATAGTCACACATAAATGGTGATTTAATTGAAAAGAAACTAATGTGGAATTTCATTTCTTCAAGCTTCCAACATATGAAAAATCCTTTTTTGAAAGTTCTTTCACTAATTCTATTGATGTATATCAGTTATATCCAGTAATATTTCTTCAAATGTTCTCAATAGGTTTCACCAACCTCACCACAGCTTGCTAAGAGATTTTTCATAATCTGACAGTTTTCGAATCATTGCCTCTGCCAGAACCAACATACGTGTTATTCAAATAGTTTTTTCATGTATCAGTCAAACACTGAATTTTCAATATGTCTTTGGATTGTTTATTTGGCTTGTACATCCTAAACATGCACCTTCCTCAAAAAGATACAAGCATTTCATCCACACAGACTGATGCACCTAATGTAGTAGCAAAGTTGGCTATTTTCAACGAATCATTGAAATATTGCTGAAATTGCTGCTGCTTTATCTTCTTTTTTCTTCTCAATCATCATGTCAAATTCTAATGCAAAGAGTAAAAACAAAAACCTTTCTTTAGAAACAGTATATTGAAGAATGTAATTGCCTGTTCCATCTGTTGCAAACAAGCTATGAATTGACTCATTTTCTGATTTGAAAATAGCTGTATATACCAACAATCTACTCAATGCATTCAGTTCAACTGAGTCAACATCTTGAAGATAAGATAAATTTTTTCAACATATTTTACTCTAAGTTTAGCTATTTTTACATTTGTTCACAGAATAATTTTATCAAGATAAGTCTGGGTGAATAGAAAACCCCATACTTTCACAACATCAGAATTTTCCGTCTTTTAGATGTTGGTCACAATCCAGGCAATTTCAAGACCATATTATGTTTCCTTGTTCTTACATTTTTTTCTGGTTGACATTTCCTCCATTTGAAATATCCATTTTTTTCCATTCAAATAATCCTCCTCTAGATCACGTTCATTCCTATCAAATTCTTGTTCTGAATCCATGTCATGATTGCTAAAAATTTCAAAATCGAGATCATTGTCACTATCATCAAAATCTTCACAGAAGAATTTTTCTAATTCTTGAAAATTGGGACCCCATTGTATGTAAAATATGTTATATAAAAGATCCCACTTTTCAATCTGTAAAATTCTGGAACAAGTCAACAAAACACACGTAACTACTACGATATGTCTCTGCAACCACTCACTGTGGAAAAACTTAATAACATTGCAATGACTAATTGGAACTCCATGTGACCTTCCATGAGACTCTCAATTTAATAGACTAATCAGGAAAAGAAATGTTTGTTATTGCCAAAAGTTCATTAAATTTATTGTGTTTAAAAACATGTAATAACAAATTTATAATGTACAGGATGCATTAAAATGTTATTATATTTAAACACAATTAAAATATTATTATGATGTTCATCAAGTGCACTATCCACAAATAAAAAAAACGGTTATAAATCATTAGTTTAGAACAAACACTTTTGTCCATTAAATCCAAAGTCCAATGAACTGAAGTCCATTAAATTGAGGGTCTACTGTAGATATATAATTACAAAATAAAATATCAAATTAGATATATAATTACATAAAAAGAAGATTAATATATTGCATTCATTTTCCTTTTATAACAGAATTTAATGAAACAAGTTCTAAAAAGTTATCTAACCAAAATGTATTTTTGATATTAAAACACTTAATTTAAATTTATTATTTTTCTTGTATTATTATACATTACAACTAAGCTCATTATAGTTCAACTGCATTTAGACATATTACAAAATAATCTGCATGACAATTACATTATATCTTATATGATAAAATCATTAAAACAATTATTTTTATAACTGAAATAAATAAACCTTTTAAAGTATTAAAAACTTACTCCTTTTTTCAAATTTTGTTGTTCTAACAATAAATTTTCATTCTTAACCGTTATATCTTTTATCCTTGTTTCACTGTCAAGTAATTTTGGATTGATATTTTCAATCCACACATTATATTGCAGAGAATTAGCAGAAGGATTGAATTCAAATTCTGGAAGTTCCACTTTGTAATAATTTTTTACTTCCATTCTGAACTGTTGGTATATTTTGTTAAATTCAGAACATTTATTTTGGACCTAAATATAAATAAAATATTGATATATACTTATATATACATATGCTTATTTTTTTATCATTCATTATTACATAAGTAACAATGTTTTAATTTTGTAAATCTTGAACTCATATTTTTAAAATAAAAATTGACATTAATAATATGACAAAAATTAACTATTTGACTATATTAATCAAAATATTGTTTTTGAAGTAGCTAAAAAGTTATGTTATTGTATATTTTTAAATGCATCTCTATCTAATTTCTTATATTTTGTATAAACACTGTATATTTTTATATTTCAAAATTAAAAATTTTAAAACAAATTTAAATTTAAAATAAATTTATATTAATATTGAAGATTTTTTGTAGCTTTATTACATAAATAATATACAGTAGAGCGTCGTTTATCCGAATCAATTGGGGACTGGGATTGTTCGGATGACCAATTATGTACGAAAAAATATATTAATTTATCCCGTGTTAAAATTTTTCTCTGTTGCATGTCGCTTCGTGTTGAATTTTCATCGATGTTAAGCCTAATGAAATCTATTGTATCGTTAAAAATTATTTTTTTATTTTGTACAAACAAAATAAATATATTGAAAAATATAAAAACAATAAAAAAATTATACTTCAGAAGTTAATTTAGTATCAAAAACGTAAAATATTTGAGTAGCTGAAGACATAGCCAAAGATTAAAGCGCCACAGCACTGGCAAAAATTTAAATTTGTCGACTGGAATTCCTTCGGATAACCGACACTCTACTGTAACTATATTATGCACTGTATCCATATTTAATTTGCAATTAAAAAAACAAACTTCAATCCAGCATGAAATTATTACAAATTAACCTTTTTGACTGATTGATGGATCATCACTAGATTTGAACTAAAAAAAAAAATTTTTTTCAGTTTAAACCTGATAATAACTTATTAATTGAAGCAGTTGAAAATGTCAATTTGTAATAGTTTCTTGCTAGATGAAAGTTTGTCATCTTTATTTGGACTCATCCAGTTTCAGTCTATCACACAAATCACACATTGTAAATACTACCACAAAGTACATTGACATTATTAATGAAGCTGCAATATTTAATCAATGAGAAAGAGAAAAATGATTTTAAAGATGAATTACATAAAAATACTTTATGGTATGTTATGAATCATCTACAACTAACTACTATACCTGAGTCTTTCAATTATTTTGTACCTTCTCTTTTCAGACAGAAAATGTGGAAAAAATCTTTAACCTTAGAATTAAAATTCTAAAATCATCATATTCTTCAAACAAGATTTATCAAATTGAAACTGCATGCTTCTACTTAAAATAATAGTAGAATCTTGTTTTAACAGATTCAGGGTGTTGAAAATCCACTATATCACAAACAACAGATTTCTTGCACTCCCAGGAAAATATCTGTTACTAAAAAAGTTTTTGTTTTTTAAATCCCCTATATAAAAAACACCTGTACTCAAAATTATTCAGTTTCTTCAGATTTCTATCCTTTATTTTATATAAACATGTATATCACAAGAACGTACATTACTGTATACTGTAACAAAACTGACAGAAACTGTATACATTATAAGCCAAAAAGCAACAAAGTGCGTATGATCATTAGTACTTCACAATGTGTTATAAAACTCATTTATCTTGGTTTGCTTATGATGATGCTGTGATGACAAGACGTTTCTGAATTTCTTTTGGTGGCATCATCAGTACAAAATGTTACTGTTACATGAGCACAATTTCAAGGTATGATATTCCTGAACATGTGTCTGCAAGAAAGGTTCAGCACACCTTTGTTGTACACATGTGCATATCTGGAAGTTAACTGTTAAGCCAGTAGTAGTTTTCCTCCACTAATCAACATGCTACAGAAAAGCACTAATGTGCAACTACAATGTTAACAGTAAGAACTGTGATCTGTGATAATTAAGCACATAGTTTGTGCAGGATTACAATGTTTATCAAAGATGGAGCTAGAAAAATCCATTATTCAGAGTTATGGATCCACTAAAAGGGGTAAAATTATACTGATTTGGCAAAACCTGGAGAAAAAAATCTGTTATTCCACAATCTGTTAAAATGAGATTCTGCTGTACTTATAGAAATGATTTTGAAAATATAAATAACTGATGGATAATGTCATACATATGCCTATTTAGTTAATTTCACAAAACTCACAGTAAGAATTGTTTTGCTCAGATTTTTGTTTTTTACCGAAAATTGTAAAATTTTTTTATTGGAAATCATTATGTATTTTTATTATATTTGTTAAAAAGAATACAATGCATCTCTTGTCTGATACAGTGTAAACCTATATATATTATTTTCTGTAACCTGTTATCTTGTTGAATTCCATTCCTCTTCTTTCATCTCAGCTGATATTTAGTTCTTGACCTGGTTGTAGTGTAACTTGTTATAATCATGTAGAATTAGAAGTACTATATTTTATGAACTATAAGATGCACTCTTTTCTTTGAAAAATTGCCTTCAAAATTCAGATGCGTCTTATACTCGAAATTAATATAAAAATGTCCAGTATTTGATTTAAAATTTCTGCGTCTTAAAAATGGCCATATATTTGATGCCACAGGAAACCTATCTCTATCTGGCAACATTGAATTCAACTGGCAGCAGCACTACACCAATGAGATAAACATGAGTTGCGGGGTGTCGGGATAGAATCGTCTAGACATACAATTCCCACACTTTTTCTATTCTCAAAACAAGCAACGGTTGTTGTCATAGAAACTCAGATCACGAGACAACCAGTAGTTCTGAATCCACTACTGCGGATTGGCCAGCGATCATCGTACGATCAGCAGATGTCTGATAGCATTACTAAGTGTTGATTGGTGGATCAGCGTTTGCTTCAATCCATATAAAAGGATTGAATTTAGACGGTAAAAATGGTAAAAATGTTATTTTTTTTAAAAAATTGCTTAAAAATTAAGGTGAGTCTTATAGTCTGTAAAATACAGTAGTTATAATCCTTAAAATAATGTCAGTCACTTGCATGTGTGTCTATCTGTCTTTCATAAAAATTGAAAAACTCAAATACACTAATACAAAGTTAGTTCAATCTTTGACCAAACACCAAACAATAATATTGAAGCTAGAATTATATTCTTTGATGTGTTCTTCAGCTAAGATAAATCTTAAAGAAATAATTATAAAAAAATTTTGTTATAATCTGTCTATTAAATTTGTATTTTTGTAGTGATGATACCCTATCACTTACCCAAGCTAATAATTTAAAAATAAAATAAAATAGCTTAAACAGAAAGTTAATTTATCAGGATCCATATCCTGATTAAGATCTTTACATCATAGTTAGAAACCTATACAAAAGGAGTTAAAATAATAGGAATGTTTCCGATAGCATTGACTATCATAATAATAATCAACTGAATTATTAATTACAATGAAAGAAAAATCCATAGAAAATTGGTATATTACTCTGTAAACTGCCATTATTAAATAGTCAGTGCATAATATGTTTAGCATGATATTCTTATACATTTGGCGTAATTAATTATAGAAGTAGCTAAAATAAAGGAAGACTTCTTAAAATATAGCCCACATATATAAACACTATTGTGCAATAGCTATACAAATGATTTTCAGTTAAAATTTTTTCCTTTAATATTTCATTAAGTTTAGAAAAATGTAAATACCAACTTTATATATTTTTTAATAAATAAATAAACTTTTAATTAAGTGAAAATAAAAAATGAATTTTTAAAAAATAATATATAACATAAATTGAAAATTAAAACATTGATTTCTATATATCACACCATTAAAATATTCTAAATAAAAAAATATAATATTTTTTACTTTTTGAATTTGACTAGCTGTTGTCATTTCTTCTTCCCAAAGTGCTTTTTTGGCATTTTCCATAAGAACTTTATTTTCATCAATCTTTTTAATCAAATAAGATTTCTGAACATTAACATATTCAACACTCTGAGTACTTATCTCTTGATCATTATATATTTTCTCCAATTTTGAAACTTCAGGTTTCAATTCATCATATTCTAACTCTATCATAATAAAAAAATAAATATTTGCAAAATATGAAAATAATAATAATAATTTAACAAAGAAACAATATTAATCAAAACACAAATAAATCAAATCTAAATGATGCAAAATAAGGAAAAAAAAATATTTAAAATAAGTTAGGCAAAAATGTCTTGTAGAGAATGAATATTTAGAATGTAGAAAAAATTTTTGCTGAAAATTTATTGATATTTAAAATTGTCAGCAAAAACTATTAAATTTTAATTGTGTATATAACACTTAAAAGTTTATTCTAAAATTATAAAATTTCTTGTTTTACAAAATTGATAATATATTAAATGAGCAATTATATTATTGGGATATTAAAAATTATAGCCTAAATTGGGACAATCATATTTTTAATTTATAATATATATTCTCCATTTCAAATTAATAGTTTCTTGCCCCTGTACATCATACTTTTACTGTCAGCAATAGAGTCATGCTGGTCATCTAACTCTTTTCAGTGAAAATTTTTAAATTGAAATAACATGACTTCTGGTGCAACCTGGAAGTTTGTATATAGTTAATCAGGGCCTCCTGCCCTAAGCTTTCCATATCTGGCCTCAATTTTCATCTAGCTAACTCCATTCTCAAGATTAAGGAAGGACAGACACATGATAGTGGGAATTTATAGGTCTACAATCTTTTCAAATTGCAGCCCAAAAATTTTCATTTTTATGTAAGAAAGTTACATTTATTGTAAATAAACTGTAATTTTTTGATATGTAATAGACAAATTTGTATATATTTATGTTGGTTTAACAAAGTTCTTCAGATTACATGCATATATAAATAGTAATATTTTGTTATAAAAAACTCTGTCATACAGTATAAATACATACATAGATAAATAAACCATGAAAAGAACTTTCATCAAAAATTATAGTTTAATTTAAAAAGTATTAATCACATATTCATAGACTTTATTTATCATTAATCTGTTGTTAAAATAACAGTACAAAATAATTTCAATTAAACACAAATCTTTAGTAATTTATGAAATTAGTTCTATTTAATAGTTTGAGAATACTGAAATATAAAAGTAAGTTACAAAGAAATCAGAATTCATTAAAAAAATCTCAATAATTTGATATTTGAAATTATCTTTCAGTTTAATAACTATAAATTATGAAATGGAATTTTAATATATAATTTAGATACAGATGTCAGATATTCTCAAATATAAAAATTTGATGACCAGATGGCAAAGCAGTTAGGGTGATAGCCTACCATTCTGAGATCTGGGATCAAATCTGTATGGGTATAAAAACCCTAGAAGTGGAGATTGTCTGAAAATGTTGGGTCCCATCTAGGGTTTCTCATTTCCCAGTCTTTTGTTTGTCCCACAATTTCGGGAAAAGTTAACTGTTTCCCAGGATAGAAAATTATTTTTAAGATATACAAAATATCTTGAAATCAAATGATATAATTATTTTTCATTTTTTAAAGTAATTTAATATGTTCTGCAACTCCAAAATCATATTAATTATGCTGTGTAAGGTCTATAGGCCTATAATAAAAATTACCTTTAAATAACGTATAAATTTTCACAAATAGAAACAATTTATTAAAGTTTGCTGGAAACAACAACAACAACAACAACGTGACAATGCCAAAGTGCCTATGCTTCAGCACCACAGGACTGAAGGGTTGACATTGTGTCGGCAAAGGTTGCAATGACTAATTCATCAGGACTGACACTACTGTGTCTTCTGGGTAGACACAGAAACTTTGATGGTTGCTCATTTCTTTTGTTGCACGTGAGCGGTCACATCTGTAGGCATCCGGATTCAGATGGAGATGCCTAAGAGATGACTGGAAGAAGTGCATGCTACTATGAAAGTTAACAACTAACAATACTTGTTTATTTTTCTAGACTCGTTACAAGCTATATACAGATGCTTAGCGGATGCTAATAATATTGCATATAGATAAAGGAATCTTATTCTTATGATCACGATTCTGACAGAGAGAGAGCTCACATTTGTTCATGAGACAATAAATACATTAAACACTTGCTGGTCCTATGATGTATCAATGCTCAGTTAGATGAGAACCTCAAAAACTCTGTTCGGAGGGGAATCCTTTTGTTTCATCCTTTTAGTGAGGTGGTGATTGGCGACGGCTGAAATCGGCAGTTTGGAACACACACACCATTTAGAGTTTGAGTTGCTGACGACTGCTCCTGATTGTCATCACCCCTCCTCTTATATTAGGAGGCTCCTCCTTGGTTTTTCCCATAACTTCGTTAGGAATTTTAGTACATTAGATCCAATAGTCAATTTTTTACTCGTTGGTTCCAGGTGAGACATTCAATGTGTCACCTTCATAAGGAAATAAGTCCGTGGGAACCAGTTTTAATTGTCTTTAACACTTTCATTTTCTCTCTCTAACTTTTTCTCTTTAACTTTTTCTCTTAATATTTAACCAAAATATTTCACCAATTTTGGCTCTCACAACAACAACAACAACAAAAAGCTTTGAATTAAGTTGAAAAAAAAAACTTCAATCAAACTTCTAACTTAAAAGGTAATTTTCATTTTTTAAATAAAACATAATACAAAATATTATTGCAAATTTTTATAATAATTTTTTAAAAAGCAAACATGGTCAATACTCTGATCACTCAATCTGATTCTTATTTTAGTAATAAAAAGTCCTGCTACCAAGAATGAACTTTCCGATTCAATTGATGTGAGTGGAATCGTGTTTAATGCATTTAAGAGAAGACAAATGTTATGTGTTTTTTCACCTATAGCCTAGAAGATTTCTAGTTCGTTTTTGAGATTGTAATACTTCTTTTGCTCTCTAGTATTCTTGATTTGTCTACCTTGACTGCTTTAATAGCAGCATCAAGCTTACAGCCTGATAATTTGGCAGTTTGTTTGGCTTTAATAATCAGGTTTATGAAGAAAAACTTCATACTCGTTTGTATCCTTGCCTAATTTGCACAACCTGGCATTACCCCTTCCTACCCACGCTCGAGTCTGACTCGAGTAAGTGCCATAGCATTACAAAAATCTGGGCATGAGGACCCCCCAAGAAAAAATTTTTTTTCTCCAATTTTTGGAATGTTTTTTAGGTCCCCAAATTTTTTCAAAATTTTTTTCCCATGCGAAAAAATTTTATTGCGATTTTAATTTACCTTTAATGACGCATGATTCATGCTTTATTGCTTTTTAATGGGACTTTTTTATCAAATTTAATTAATCGTTCTAAAGTTGTAGTGCACAGATTTGACTTCAGTAAAGTTATTTAAAGCTAGTTTCTGATATCAAAAACGACCTCCAATCGTTTTTTAATTTTTTTAATTAATAGATTTTATTGTATATGTTTAATTAAGTCAGGGGGTTGGAAATCACAATAAAAATTTTAATTTTTTAAAAATATTGGTCTAGCTAGTATTCACCCTACTTTAAACCCTTCTCCTCCCGAGACATCTATGAGAATGCCCCAGGAAATACGACTCCAGCTGTTCTCAAGGTCATCCAGCTGTGTAAACAATAACTCATCGGTGTCAAATTTCGCAGAAAGGCAAGACAAAAGAAGTTAAACTTTGAAGCTTTTTCTTCAAAATTAATGCATTTCTTTTGTTTCTTTTAGTTTTAAGTATTTTTTATGCTTAATTAAAAATTCTAAAAAAAAAATGGGTGGCTCAAAAGGGGTTAAAGATACTGAACATGGTTAAAAATTAAGACAGCATAAGCATAATTATTCCAAATATTACAGGTTCTGACAAGTAAATAGTTTTCAAAGTCCTTCCACAAATAAGCTACATATTGATTATTGACCATCTGTGACATGCCATAATGAGCAAAAATTTAAAAACTAATAAGTAGGTTTAAAATGAATAAATACAAATGTATTCTGACAGTTTATGAGTTAATTATACTTTCTATTTGCAAAATTTCCTCAGCCTTAACACAAAATAAGAAAAAAGTGAACATTTAATTTTGCCAGGAAATCCTGGGAAATTTGCAGGATTTCCTGGAATGAGAAGAATTCTCCGGGTTAAAAAAACAACCAGAATCCCATTTGAGAAACCCTAGTCCCATCCATTCCTCACCACCAACCACAGCATTATGGATCTGGCTGAACCAATATTGGACTTTCTAAAAAGGATCTCTTAATTCTTAATGCTCAAATACTTACATGTATATATTGGCAATTAGCAGCCATATATATATAGTTGATAATAACCCTTGCTTGTTAACTAAATACCCTTAAATTGTCCTAAAGGACTTAGACTTAAAGGAATCAACTAGGAGAAAGGACTCAAAGTCCAATCTGCACCATCACTTCGTATAGGCTATTAGTAACCTTGTTTATTACATAGCAAATGAACACTCCTTCTAAGGTGCTAAGAATCTCTGGGTTAGGCCAGGCTGCTATAGAATGACGACTGACTATTTACAATGGACAATCCTTATCTTCTGAAATTTGGTTACAGGAGCTGGAAGAATTAACTGGCATATCTTAAGAACCTAATAAGATGTCCTTTTTGTGCTCTCTGAGCAGTAAAGGGCCTAAAAAAGCCACAGAAAAAATAAAGAGCCTAATAAGGAGAATAAGGAGAATAAGCAGAGATAAGGAAAGGAGAAGAAAAAAATCAAACTCAACAGTGAATATGTATTGTACTAAAGAGAACAGATAATGGTAAAACTAGTGGAATAGGTTGTCTTATTCACAAAAAAAATGGGAAAAGTCATATTATTGAGTTTGACAGCTCATCACACAGAGTAGCAAGATTAGTTATCTGACTGTCAAAAAGGTACAAAATACAGATTACCCAAGTTTATGCACCAACAACTAGCTATTCTGATGAGAATATTGAAGATTTTTATGAGGAAGTAGGAATGATGAAACAAAGGAAATCATTATCTTAAGATAATCATGGGTTATTTGAATGCAAGAATTGAAAAAAAGAAACTATGGCTATGGTACAAGAAATGAAAGAAAAAGCACACTTGTCAAATTTATAGAATATAAATAGCTGTACATTATGAGTTCCTTCTTCAAGAAAAAACCACAAACAAATGGACTTGAAAAAGTGCAAATAGAACTAATAGTGAAATCATCTACATCATATCAAACAAGAAATTTGTAATCTATGACTGCAAAATTCTCAACAACTTCAACACAGACAGTGATCACAAAATAGTGAGATGCAAACTACTGTTGAACACAAAAATTAAAAGGACATACATAGCTTATTAAGATCAAAAGGAAGTCCATTAATATGACAAGTGTGTAGGAACACCAAAATAATTTTCTATTAGAACTATAGAACCACTTTGAAATTTTTAGCAGCACTGAAGGCCTAAATGTTACAGAAATAAACATAAAACTAACCAGAACCCTACAATAAGTTGCAAAAGAAATAACTGGAGAAACAGAAACAAAGCCAGTAAAAAAATTAACAAAGAAAACAAGAGAATTGATGAAAAATAGAGAATTCAAGACAAAGAAGTGATCTAAACTCAAAAGTAGAATATGCTAAACTAAGTAAAACAGTGAGGAAACACATCACAGAGGACATCAGGAATTTCAATTGTGATGTTGTAACAAATGCACTTGTAAATAACAAAAGTTTAAGAACAACTAAATGAAAACTCTGTATTGAAAAGAAAGTGATATTTTGCTCTAAAAAAAAAACTACCAGGAACAGCAAAAAAATCATTTGCATTGTTGAAAGATGCTCTACAAATATAATAAGGACAAAACCCAAAAAGCAAGATAAGTAATGACAGAATAATAGACAAAACAGAACAAATAACTGTATAAGGAAATATGAAGTATAGTGCTACAAAATGGATAAGAAAGGAAAAAATCATCTAGAGAAGACAGAATCTCAGTTGATGTTATTAAAGAAGCTGGTAAATATGAAGTATCTTAGGAGTTCTCTCAGTGCCTCAAGAAATCTGATGTACTGTACCAGAAGACAAACAATGCAATAATGGTTCTCCTTTCCAAAAATGGGAAGAGAAACACATAAAAAAACTACAGATATTTCAGCTTGTTCAATCAATATAAATATATATATAAAAGTTCTTTACTAAAATACTAACAGGCTTGAATCTAAACTGGACTCCATTCAACCAAGAGAACAGGCAGGATTCCAAAGTGGACTTGCAAAAATAGATCATATTCAAATGATCTGAGAACTCATTGCAAGTAAAGTATATGAATTACCACTTTGTTTTGACTTTTAGATTTTAAACAAGCTTTTGACTGTTTTTCCATCTGTAGTAGTGAAAGACTTAGAATCTAATTGTAAAGAAAGCATATACATTAATGTAATCAGGTAAATTTTTAATAAAGAAATGGCAACCATCTGTTTGGATAAAAAAAAAAAAAAGGTAAGGATTAGGCTTGGAAAAGAGGTCGGACAAGGAGACACAATAGTGAAAAACTATACAGTGCTGTATTAGAAAAAGTTTTCAGAAGTTTGAACTGGAGCAATAAAGGAATTAAAATTAATGGGGAATTTCGGAGTCATCTCTGCTTTACAGACAATATAGTTATCGTTATCAATAACTGAAATGAATTAGAAGAAATGCTGGGCGAACTAGCTAGAGTAAGCATTCAAATGGGATGTTGCTGTAATATATATATATTTTTAAATTGTTTGCCTTATATTTAAAAGATGTTTACTTAATTCATAGGGGCCATTAACACCAAGGGCCAAAATGCATATTAGTAGACATATAAGGCATTAATAGTTTCATGTGTGTGATAAGCCTTTCAAATAAATAATGTATTATGTATGTGTAAAAAATATATTTGTACTATATATTATAAAAAGAAATTAAAGGCTAAATGATATACATTTAAGTGGGGTTATAGATGAATCTGCAAAACATGAAAGTAGTTTAATGAATTTACTATGAAAAAGAAGATTATGACAAACAGAATTGAGATTGAAGAAATATAAAATTACATCTACCTGGGTCAAGAAAAAACTATGGATAACAATTTCATGAATGAAATAAACAGAAAAATTGATCAGATGGAGTACATTTAGCAAAAATAGCATAATTCTAAAAAGCAGCCTGCTACTATGCCTAAAAAGTATTCAACCAATGTGTTCTACCAGCACTCACCTGGAGCAGAAACATGAAGACAAACAAGCAAAACAATATAAAGGCTGCAGACAATACAAAGACATATGGAAAAAATGCATGCTGGGCAATACAAGAAGAGACAGAAAGTAAATCACCTGGATATGAAATTAAATATATATTGAGAGGATCAAACATTCAAAATGGCAATGGACTGGACACATTGCTAGAAGACAAGACAACAGATAAAATACAAATATTCTAGACTGGTACCCATGAGGAATCAAACACCCAAGACAAACACCTCAAATATGATGAAGCAACAACATAAGGAAAGTAGTTCACATACATTGGAAAACCAAAGCATTGGACAAAGAAAAATAAAAAAGATTAGAGAAGACCTTCATATAGCAATAGACTGACAATGGTTAATCATGATAGTGATGATGATATAAAAATAAGTTTTAAATTTTTTTAATGTTACACACAAAAAACTTTCAAATATTTACTTTTAGACAACTATAATACACATCTCTCTTTTTTGCATGATGGATATGTTCCAAAGAATGCTGCGTAAAAATATAAGGGTACATACATCATGCAGAAAAATACTTAATAGGATCCATAACTTTAATGAAATGAAAAAAGAAGCAATTTACAAAAGAAACACAAGATTATTTTATTTTAACATTATTTATATGTAAGTATAGTAAACACAAGTAGCATAAGGAACAAAATCAACATACAGTATTCTCTGATGTAGATATAGTACTGTACTGTGCTTAGAAAAGATAAATGAACTTTTGATTTAGAAATGTGTAATTTTAAAACCAGTCTTTCAACAAAAAGAGTAACTTTTTTAACAATAACACAATTTTAACAAAAAGTTAAATTTAAAAATTTTCAAATAAACTACTTTTTTTTATGTGTAAAAATATTAATTGCATGAAAAGAAGATTAGTATTCTTTCGTCAATCGTGTCATTTCAAAATCACTTAAAAATAGACCACATACATGTAAAAAGTAAAATAGGTACTTATTTGTCAAAAATAGACTAAATTAATAAAATGTAAAATATTTTTCAATTTTATACCTAAATCTCTATTATAGCTTTACAAAAAGAGTTAAGAATAACATAATATATTTAGGATATTTCTGTAATAAATTAATAAATAATTAAATAATTCTGTAATAAATTTTGTATATTTCTGTAATAAATATCCTAAATAAAAATACAGTGGTACCTCAGGATACGAAATTAATCCGTTCCGAAACTGAGATCGTATCATGAAAATGTCGTAAGGTGGATCAGCTTTTCCCATACGATTACATGTAAAACCAAATAATTCGTTCCAACGCGAAAAACATACTCAAATTAAAGCCAAGTAATACATTAAAAAAATAACTGTAGTAAGAAAAACAAATGAAAAATGCAAACTAATGTAACGTCGTATGGTGAGTTTTTGTTCGTATAGTGGAGCAAAAATATGTTCGAATTTCATGTCGTATCCTGAAAATTTCGTATGCTGGGGCGTTCGTAACCTGAGGTACCACTGTAATCATTAAATATTTTTTATAGATAATAAAAACTGAAATTTAGTAAATTTACTTCTACAAACAATAACAAATACAACAAAACTTCATATAAAAAATTCTGTTCCATAATCAAAAAAATTTTATAAATATTTACACAAAAGTAGTTTATTTTTACTTACGTTTTTTATTTATAATTTGTTCCAATTCTTCTATGTCTTTTTCTTTTTGACTGATATGATCATTCATTTCATCAATGTAATTATTTACACAAGTAATATCAGACTTTGTTTTGTCTCTCAGAATACGTATTTCATGCATATTTTCCTAAAAAATTTAATAAAAAACAAATATATAATATCAATAACAACATTTTCAAATTGTAGTAGTTTATTGATTTAGCAAATTGCTTTCACAAAGGGGTAAATAAAATTGTTATTACAAAAGTTTTAGTGAGTGTACAAAAAACTTGTACAGTATAGTTTATATAACGTGGTCGTACTAGAAGATTCTTTTAATAAATTAGTATAACTGTAATCAATCCCAAAAATATCTGATCTTATTTCACAAAGAGATTTGCAACTTGTAAATGAGTGATTTATCATCATTGATGCCATCATTTTACAAAACAAACATTTGGCATTATTTGATATGTTAATTATTTTGCCATTTAGAGTTATTGTATATTTATTTAGACAAAATTGAATAAATAGTGATTTGAATTTATAATTTATATTAGACAATAAATAAAATGAAGGATTCCAATGAATTGAGTAAAAATTACTTGGGAATTTATCAGTAAAATCCTTCTCTTGCAAATAGACATCATCTTGTTGCCAGTATATATTTCTTAGCCTTTGTTTGCAGTCTGTTAAAAAAATTCTATCATCAGAATAAACCAAATAACTCTCAAACAATAATCCAAGGTTATTCAGCAAATTCTTAATAGTAGTGGATAACATTTTCTTTGACACTGTTTTGTTGGATGATAAGAGCTTAGTATATATCAGTTGTCTATAGTCATTTTCTGGTAGTACAATAAATAATTTTCCTCCAAAAATGAAGTAAATTCAGTGATAAATTCACAGCGAGAGGTGGTCTTCCTAGTTCTGTCCTCAATGCGGCCCCAGGCATAGAACAATTTAGACAAAAAAATTTGCTTGAAAAAGAATAGTTGTATTTTTTCCACTTTATCAACTGTCAATCTCCCCCATATTGGAAATGCATATAAAATACTCGATCTTATTAACATACCAAATAATCTAAAATAGTTTGTTGAGTGATGATTCTTTCATTTTGACAAGTAATCTATTGAATCAGGTGCAACTTCCACCAAATCTAAACCAACATTTCATGCAAATTCCAAGGCACATCCTATTGGTACGATTCCAACCATCTTACCATCATGATCAACTAAACGTACTTCCTTGGCTGTAATGAACTTGAGATTTTTACCTTGGCCTCAATTATCACGTTTTCCAAATGAAAAGAAAAGGAACCATGAGGAGTAAAATAAATTCCCAAATATTTAAAATTTGATACAATTTCCAACCTGTGTCTCTCCAAATAAAATTCATCTGATTTTTTAATATCTCCACCACGAAAAATCATTATTTTTGTCTTTTCCAAATTAACTGTTAAATAGTTATTATGACAGTATTCTTGAAGTAAATGTAGTCTCTCCTGGAGAGCCACAACTGAATTTGCCATTAACAGACCATCATCCACATAAAAAAGACATTTTATATTTTAATTGGGTGAAATTGCAATTGTGAAAGTTTGGCCTTGTAGAGTTCAGAAGATAATTTAGAAAAAGGACAAAAAGAAATGGGCTTAAGGGTTATCCTTGAGGTAATCCTTTGTTAGATGAAACAAAATCTGTACAAAAAGAAGATTCTTCTATTAAATAATGAGTATTAGCAAACAGATTTTTTAGAAGATTGATAAACTGTTGAAAGGCCTATATGTTCTAATTTGAACCATATGTCATGGTCTATTGAATTGAAATTTTTTTTTAAATCTATGAAATCTGCATACACTTTTTTCCGTTTTCTTAATAGCGTTAATTGAGCAATTTCATTTAAAATAAACAAGTTATATTCGACATCTCTATTCCTGATCTAAGCTCCTTGATAAAGAGTGATAATAATGTTCACTTCTAACCATAGTTGAAGACGGTTTGTTAATATGGACAAAAATAGTTTCCTTAATATGTTAATTAAAGCTATTGGATAATAATTGGTTGGTAACAATCTGATTCCTTTTTTATATAGCATTTTAATTAATTAATTAAAACAGATTTTTTTCCAAGTTGTAGGAAATTCACTATAAGATTTAAAAGAATTAAACATATTTAAAATGTCATTTAATATTTTACTTGAAAGACATTTAATCATTTCATTTCTCATTTTATCCAAGCCAGGTGATTTGCAAACTTTTAATTTTCTTATGGCGTATTCTAGTTCTGACTGAGATATTGGATCATCTAGAAGAGGGATATTTCTAATTGAAAAACTGTTTAATAGAATAACTGTATGAGGTCTGAGAAATGCAGTTTCAAAAAATCAAACCAAATCTCATTTGAGATTACATTTACAGTATGCCTCCTTATTCTGAACTTATTTACCAATGACCAAAATTCTTTTGTATTTTTTGTGTTGTAATTGTAGCTTAATTTTGGCTTGAAATAACTTTTTCTTAGCTTTACACAATGACTTATACTTTTGTTTAGTTTGCAGTACTCTTCTAGCAGATCTCTTCATTTATTTTTATGAAATTTTCTTAATTAATGAACTATTTTTTTTCCATTTTAACCTCAAACAGTCCAAATCAAACCATTGTTTATCAAAAGGCTTTAATGAATTGGTCATTCTTAACATTCCACTTTTGGGTTGCTGAAGTCAATAGCATTTGTAAGAATTTTGAGTAAAAGTTCCACACATCCAATAAAAACCTCTTCTTCAATAAATCATGTAATGAAATGACTGACGAAACATATTTGTCAAGCTTGCCCTGGTTCCATACATATAGAGTTTTCTGTAGTTTGTCTCTCTCTGTTTTATCCATATTTAAATTAAATATCGCAGAAGTAGGAAAATGGTCTGAACTGAATTTGTCAAAGATTTTTCCATTCAAAGAAATAAAAGTGAAATTTACTGGATAGTCGTTTATGCATTGGCCATTTAATATATGTAAACAAATATGATTTAATCAACTGTAGATAATTTTTTCCTCTGATGTTACAGATTTATGAAAGTTTAGTGTGTTCATTCTGACGTTTCTAACATACTAAGATTTAGCTTTGTAAAGTACTATATTATTTTTCCGACTTTTCCAACGATTATCGACACTACTGTGTGCCGGAAATAGCCGTTCCCTAACGGGTACTTTACGCGGATTCGTGTTAGTGTGCCAGGCCTGGACTTTAAGCGTGCACCGAATTAAATAATGACAAAGTTTGTCAATAACAAAATCAAATATTTAATTAAACTTCTATTAATAAATTCTATACAGTATTTAGTAAAAATCAAACAATAATTTATTCAATGAAACTCAACAAGAATTAATCCGACAACTCAAATCAATCTATTTCTAACTTAATTCTATTCCCCTTTGGAATTCGACAAAATCAAAGAATTAACTTATAAACAATAATTCTTATAAATTAAAGATCCTAATCGTCACCTCAATATACTAGGAACCTATTTCCTCAACTCTCAAGACTTTCTATAACCGTCGATCCACAAATCGAATAACTTCAAAATCCTATCGGACACCTCTCTCTCGTTCACTGCTATAAGCTCGTTGCTATCAGGAATTCACCTCGTTCGTTTTCACTTGAGTTAGAGGCTTTATAGTGTGAGGTGACGTCACAATTCTGAATGAGCTCACTCTCCTCATTTACATACTTATCTGTAACATTAAATTTTTCTCGTTTATCTGGCAGATTATTTTCCGACAATACTTCGCTAACCTTTTACATTATTCTTTTTAACAATTATCGGGATGCTTTATTATTTTAAGGTTTAGCGATTCCTAACTGGGTTGTGGGGTCTCCCCCCCCCCCTTTTTCTCGGTGCGGACTTACTTTTTTCCGCTTGGGAAGCGCAAGTGTGCGCGAGTTTTTCTACGGCGCTTTTCTTTCGTCGGTGAGTTGGTTTTTCTTCTATTTTTAAGTTACTAAGGTGAATGGTGAGGAAACCTTCGTCTTAACTAAACATAAGCCCCAAACAAAATATAATGAAAGCAAAATAAAAGTAAAATAAAAATAAAGCTCAGACTTGGTTCCTTACACCTTGGATTGAAATTGGAGGGATTAATATATAAAGAATTTTTCATGTGAATTTTAGCATTTTTTCATTGCAAGAATTTTATAATATATCAACAATTACATCTCTTCACTTTAAGTTAACAAAAAGACAATGTCAAGTATATTTTTTTCTACTTACTAATTCTTCTTCCAACATCCTTAGTTCCTTTTCAAATTCTTCTTTATCTTGCATCAATAAATTTAAAGACTCAAAGTTTCCAAACAAATTTTCAGCTAAAACATAAGTTAAATTTAGTTATTAAACATATTTATGAAACATTTTTTTCATTTTTTTAGATGATCAAAGTCTTCATTTAAATTTTTATACAAGTAACAAAATTTCCAGAATTTTTTTATATTTTAATTATTTCATCATGCATTAGTTATTATATTTAAGATATCCAATATAATAATTAATTAATCTTTAAAAAATAAATCTAATTAATAATCTATAAAATATAAGAGAATACATTCAAAAAGCAATACATTTTACTATTGTTATTTTTAAATTTGATTTTTATTAGTTAAACTAGCATAAGGAAAAAACTTATTACAAAAAAGTATTGAATGTAAATCCAATAATTTCTAATAAAATTTCTCTCTCAACATTAAATATTTTAATCAAGGAACATAAATTTACTAGATAAAAGAAACAGAATGCAATAATTACATAATTTCTATAAAATTTAATCATTCTATTTATTTGGTGCCAAATTTATTCCAACATTATTAGGAGCAATTAAAGTCACTTTATACTTTACCTTCTTGTAAATATACATAAATTTTGAGTTCTTATTTTATCTTCTTCAACTGTTCCATAAAATTCCATATTATAATAAAATTTTGAAAATATTTACTATATCTTCAAAATTTTATTATATTTATATTTATTATATTTTCATAAATATTTATAGTCTTAGAGGAGCAAAGTTTTTGAAAAACAAGTAAAGAAAGAAAGAGTAAACTCCAAAATATATATTTTTAACAAAAAGCATATGAAAAAAAGTAGTTCAATAAATTTTAACTATTATACTGGTACAAAAATGGAAAAATCCAACAATGACTTGTATTTATATACATATAAATTTCAATCTTATTATGATTTCAAAATTCTAAACATTACCATATTTTTGCAAAATGAACAGCACGCTGGTCTATCTGGAGAGACCACAAAATCATATAAATCATTACAATTCTGTGTGTTGTAAGCTAGAACTTCTATACATTATTACAAAACAGCCTTCTTACTTTTTCTAGCAAATTTTAATTAAATGAATTAATATGAGGAAGGCTATTTAAGATGGCTGAAAAAGTTAGTTCATTTAATTAAAATTTGCTAGAAAAAGTGATAAAGAGATTTTGTAATAAATCATTACAATTGAAATCATTAAATTATCACAAAATATCATTAAAAATGTTCTTTGATGAAAATTGACAGTTTTTTCTACATAAAATTTTGATATATAAAAAAACACTGTCAACTTTTTTATTTGTGAAAAATGATAATCCATCATTACATTTTAAGACAACATATTTTTTAATATAAACTAAAAGATTAATGTAGAATATGTAGCACATGGAAGTATGCAAACAAACAATTAGAATACAGTGGTACCTCAGGATACGAAATTAATCCGTTCCGAAACTGAGATTGTATCATGAAAATGCCGTAAGGTGAATCATTTTTTCCCATATGATTACATGTAAAACCAAATAATTTGTTCCAACACGAAAAACACACTCAAATTAAAGCTAAGTAGTACATTAAAAAATAATAATAATAACTATAGTAAGGAAAACACTGAAAAATGCATTTTGTAGTTGTAAATCTATAAATAACCACAATAGAATAATAATTGATTAAAAAAATGTAGTTTTATTTGCACTTTACCTTTGAGGATAGACGTTGGTGGAGATATAAACTGGTGGCGGAGGAGTGGGAGAAGGGAAATGATACTAAAACTTAACTTGCGTAATATAATGTAACAATAGCTTAAAAATAACTTAACACTAATTCTTTAACTTTTCTGTTTTATATATATTTTTTATTTTTATTTTTTTATTCACTGCTTCTTTCTTTCTTTCACTTCCACCAGCACTTTCACTGGATAGAGGTTGTTTGGTAAAATATCTATCCAAAGAGGTTTGGCTTTGCCTACTTTTTAAAATATTTCTAAAATGACTTAGGCAAATGTCATTACTCTGAGCAGCAATACGGCCAGTGTGAACCTTTTCAGGATGTTTCTTTTCAATAAAATCAGTCATTTTCTGATAATACCTCAAGTTTTCCTTTATGGAGCGAGATCCTTCCATGACGAAGCAAACATGCGGACTGAGACCAATGAACAGAAGTGAATAAAAAATGGCACTGCAAACTAATGTAACATCGTATGGTGAGTTTTTGTTCGTACCGTGGAGTAAAATTATGTTCAAATTTCATGTCGTATCCTGAAAATTTCATAAGCTGGGGCGTTCATATCCTGAGGTACCCTGTAATTAAAATTACTCTAATACAAAATTTTTGTTGTAAAATAAAACTTTACAACAAAAATAACAAATAATAGAATTGGAGAAAGTTTGGGAAATATCCATTATACTTGACCATTGAATAATAACTTTTAATAATTATCATAATTTATTTCTTATACTGTATTAATATTAAAAATATTTTACCTAGTTGATCATATATTTCATAATTTGCTTCTCCTGAAGAAGTAAATAAATTGTAATTTCTGGCAATAGTCTCCTGTAATGTCTATAATTTAAACAAATTAGAATGTAAAATTTAAACAATATAAACTAAATAAATATTTTACCTCATAAAATAAATATGAATAAAAACAAAAAAACTTACATAACAGAATTCAGTTCCTTCAAACTCATTATCATTCATAAAAGCTTTCATATCACAGTTCTCAATATACTGCAGTAATTAACAAAAATATGCCATTTAAACACTTAACAGAATTAAAACTTTATTTCATATAAATAAAAATTATTTGTCTAAATAAAATTTTACTTAAAAAATGTTATTAATCAATTGATTTAACAATATATTCTTCAAAGATACAATAAAAATTTTGGACAAACAAATACATTGCATTATTTTTCATACTTTTTTATTTTTCCACATAGTCTCCAAACAATAAGATGTGTTTCAAAAATACAGTAGAGCAGTGTTATACATCTCACAAGAGATCATATCAAAACAATGTATAATTGAAATTTAAATTAAGATGCAAAAATAATAGTTTATATGATATATCCCTAGTATTATGACTTTTAAATGTTAAAATAGTTTAAAGAAATTAATTCTAGTGTGATTTAAATTTTGGAAATTATTAAAATTAAAAATGAAAAGAAGATAAACGAGAATATGGAACCAGGGCACCCGTACATTGGGGCATTTGCCCACTCCCTTTGTCGTCAGATTGCCATTTTCTTAATCCCCAAAGGAGCTCTGATTCATTTTATTTTTATAAAGTTATACCCAGATTTGCCTGGATTTATAAAGTACCCCTTGCAGTAATGTTACAGCCACAGTTATTAATCATAAATTTCAGAAATATATGTATGTAGGTCAAACTGAAAGTGATGAGCAACAATTTTTTTTATAAATCACAATATATTAATTATGAAAAATTAAAAACACTCATAATCAATAGACTATAGACAGTGCCATGAGTGAGTCATGACACTGTCTATAGTCAGTGCCATGAGTGAGTCATGACGTTATTAGCTTCCATCATGTGATACCATAGACAGCTGATACAGAATGGCTGCAACTGATATTTTGTTTTGCCAGTGTGTTGTGATTGAATTTCTCATTAAAGAAAGAATCTCCACTACAGAAACTCAACAGAAACTTCAGCATGCATATGCAGATGTGTGTATGGGTGCCAGCAGTGTTAGAAGATGGGTAAAGCATTTTAAAGATGGAAACCCAAACATCAAAGATCAGCCTTGTAGCAGTTTTATGGGTTGTAGATAGGATGATTTGGATGAAATCTCTTGAATCTGGGCCAACCATTAATGCTGCTTGATATGTTATGACACTTCATAAGTACTGTTGTGCACTGCATAATAAACATCTTGGGATAAAGATCATCCTGCAGCACAACATGAGGCCACACACTGCTCTTTACAGTAGGGAGGAAATTCGGTAAATGGAGTGAGAAGTTCCTCTGCATCCTGCATACAGTCCCAAATTAGCACACATTGATTATCATCTTTTTGGTGTTGTGAAAGAAAACATGCAAGGCCCACACTATGAAACAGTGGAGAACATCAAGAAAGCACTGTGTCAGTTTTTTCATCGTGCTGGAACAGAGTTCTATCATAAGGAAATTTTCAAGCTCCCACAATGGTGAGAAAATGGAGACTATGTGGAAAAATAAAAAAAGTCTGAAAAATATGGTGATGTATTTGTTTTTCCAAAAATAAACTGATTTGATTTATAAAAAATTGTTTCTCATGACTTTCAGTATGACCCTCATAGTAAAACCAATCTTAAGAACATTATCAGAATGTCTATTACTATATAGGAAGTTTTTTCTCATATATAGCGAATTTATAGAAAGATTATTACAATTAGTTTGGTTTACTTGGTTATGGCTAGGTGATACATGAGAAATCTGCAGAGGGGATGCCTCTCAGGAGGAGTTTTATAGAAAACTGGCCCTATTTAGGTGTTAATAACTTGAAGAAAACCCAGAAAACTCCATATGGCCAGCCCATTGATGATGTGTGAACCCATGACCAACTACTAGTGTGACAATTTTGACTCCATGCAGGTTAGTGCTATGTGCTATTCATCAAAAGTAATAATACAGCAAGTCTACTTTGTGCTATATCACTGTCACAGTAATTAAGTAAATAAAACATTCTTTTTTTTAAATTATATTGTTTTTTTGTATGAATTATATCTAGTTTATTTTTAAATTTTTTTTTTTGCCAATAGATGGTGCTACATGTAAATTCAGCAAATCCAATCTAGTCAAAAATTAATATATAGAAATCTGATAAATATTTTGGAGTGTATGTATGATGTTATCTAAGTTAGTAGTATATTAAAAAAAACTATTGAGTTTCATAGCAATTAGTCAAATGGTCTAGAAATGTATAGCAAACAAACAACCAAACGTTCTTATTTATAGATATAGATTAATTACTCATTTTTATCACAGAAAACTTTTTATTAATGACAAAATTAAAATAAAAATATTTGTTATTAACTGAAAATTTGTTCTAACAGGTTGTGATCGTTCAGTTGAGTATCAAGGTACCATTGTATTTGATTAACACAATTTTGATATACACAGTAGCTTCAAGGGATTAACTAACAGCATTAATCAAGGGATACCTGTGTGTATATACAGGTATCTTTTTGCATAATGTTTGTACAATGCCTTTTTTTATAATCTGTGGGTGCCACTGTATGGGACTACATGTTTATGATTCCTGGTATCAGTATATCTATGACAGGGGGAGAGACGAGAAATAATCATGTACTTATGTAAATATAGAATGAGTCAACATCAGCTCACATAGCTTATATGGACCATGAATGTTAATGTATTTGTGAGAAATTTTACTCTCTTGTGGTTTTAATGTAAATATAATTATAGACTTTCGTTATACTTTTAATGAAAGTCTTAATAAGGTTTATATTGTTAATAAGGTTTATACTACTATGCATATGTAGCTAGAACTATTTCTAAGATTATCAGCACAAAACCTTTTCACTAATTTCTAGCCTTATTAACAGGAGTACAAACGTTTTCGGCCTTCTTAATAGGCCTTCCTCGGTACACTGTGGAGCGTCGGTTAGAAGTTTAAATGCTGCCAATGTTTACCCAGGTATCGTCTTACCAGTGACGTCATCGTCGATGATAGGTATACGATACCGAGGGCGAAAAATACATACTTTTGGTAAAGAAGGGAGGTGTGCAGATAGGATACTTGCTAAAGTTGGGGAAAAAGATTTTAGAGTAAGCGCGCTATGTACAGGAGATGCACAATCACAACAGGGGGTTAGCGGAGAGTGACGTCATAGTTGAGGCCGTAAATATTCACCGATGGCCCACTTCCTGGACCTCAATATCTTCTTGGATCATGGCTGCATAACTACAAGTGTGTTCCATAAGCCTAATCTTCAATCTTTCTTTATCCCTGCAACCTCGAATGACCCCTTTACTTACAAAATGTCCGCTTTCAGGGCTCTTATCCGCAGAGCTTTTACCCATTGCTCTAGCATTAACGAC